AAAGAGGGAGAGAAAGAGCAGGGGAGAGGCTTGTTGCATGTGTCCGCCCCCTGGGCTTTTTACTGCTGGAGCACCGCTCCTGTGCACTTCTGCAGGAAATGACCCTGCCAATATCCATACACGTACCAAACCTGGATCTGCCCACCATCTGGTCCCTGTCTTCTGAAGGAAGAAGAGAGAGGGAGTCAGGTTCACTGGTTACTTGTGGGGAGGGGGCTCCAGTTAGCAGGGCCCCTTTTATACCCCCATTCTCCATTCCCCTCAGAGGTAGGCTTAAGCCTGTTAACAGAGAGCCCCCCTCCCTCCTTCAGATGGGGGTCCCCACTCAAATATACTTACCATCTCTGGAGTGGGTAAACCTTTGGACCGTATCTCCGGAAAGAAGGTGAGAGAGAGGGAGTCAGGCTCACTGGGGGGCTTGTGGGGAGGGGGCCAGAGTCACCAGGCCCCTTTTGCCCTCCCATTTCTCCCCCCCCACAAATCTCCTTCCCCATCAGCTCACTGATATTAAACATACAAATCAATCGTTACAAGGAGATAAACAGGAGCCCCCCCAAATCTTGTCCTCCATTCCCCACAGAGGCAGGTACAGGCCTACAGACAGGGTGCCTTCTCCCTCTATGAGAAAGGGCTCCAGGGCCGGCTCACTCACTAGGCGAACTAGGCATTCGCCTAGAGCGGGCCAGCCCTTAGGGGCACCAAACTGCACCCGCCCCCCTGTCAAAAGCCTCCCCCAACCAACCAAAAGCCCTGCATGCATCTAGTCCCTTACCGGGGGACCGCTGCCTCCGCCACCTCTTTCACCCCGGGTCCGGCGCCCAGTGCACCCAGAACCGGGCGGGGAAGGAAGTGAGGAGGGAGGAAGCACCCCCCTGCTGTGCTCGGGGCCTGTCCTGAGGCACAGGTGGCTTGCAGGGTGGGGAGGAGGTGGACGGCACCGCCTGAAGGGCCCAGCGGCAGGGTGGCTCAGGTAGGCATGCGTGGTGCATAGAGGGAGCTGGAGCACACCCGCCGCCGCTTCCTCCTCTGAGACAGGCCTGCTTGGACCAGACGGCTCCTCCACACCGCCCTTGGTGAGTCTCCTTGGTGCCACCCCCGCGGGGAGCGAGGGGACGGGACGCACGCAGCTGGGGGGGTCCTGGTCCCCCAGGGGGAAGGAGAGACGGGGGAAGTGGGGGGGAAGAAAAAGCAGAAGGGCTGCCCCTCCGAAGAGCCTTGTAGCCCCCTCTCCTCCCACACCCGATGCACCCAGCTTAGCACCCGGCTTGAGCGCCGGAGAGGCACACGGCGGGGGGGAGGGGAGACACAAGGTGAGGGGAGGCACCACAAGGCAGCCTCACCTGGGAGGGCGCTAGTTTCGCCTAGGGCCGGCCCTGCAGGGCTCCCCACTCAAATACATTTACCATCACGAGAGTTGTGAAACACCTGGCTGCTATTCACTGAAGGAAGGAGAGCGAAAGGGAGGCAGGTTCGCTGGGGGTCTTGTGGAGAGGGAGCTCCAGCCGCCAGCGCCCCCTTTTCTACTTACATTTCCACACACACACACAAACCCTCCTTCCCATCAGTTAATGTGACATGAGAAATACAAATCCACAAGCACACGGAGATAAACAGAAGCCAAGAAAACCTTCCACTTCTCCATTCCCCACAGAGGTAGGTGCAAGCCTGTTGACAGAGTGCCCCCTCCTGCTTTGAGATTCGAAGCTGCTCAGCATGGCTTCTTCTGAAGGAAGAAGAGAGAGGGAGTCAAGTTCACTGGGTACTTGTGGGGAGGGGGCTCCGGTCACCACAGCCCCTTTGGCACTCCCATCGCCCCACCTCACACACACAAACCCTCCTTCCCCTTCAGTTCATGTGACTTAAAACATACAAATCAACAACCACATAGAGACAAATGGAAAATGGGAAAACCTTCCACTTCTCCATTCCCCACACAGGCAGGTTCGAGCCTGTTGACAGAGTGCCCCCTCCCGCTTTGAGACGGGGGGGGGGGGGCCCCCCCCACATTTACCGATTTTTACCAGATTCTAAGCTGCTCAGCATGGCTTCCTCTGAAGGAAGAAGAGAGAGGGAGTCAAGTTCACTGGGTACATGTGGGGAGGGGGCTCCGGTCACCACAGCCCCTTTGGCACTCCCATCGCCCCACCCCTCACACACAAACCCTCCTTCCCCTTCAGTTGATGTGACTTAAAACATACAAATCAACAACCACATAGAGACAAATGGAAAATGGGAAAATGATCCACTTCTCCATTCACCACACAGGCAGGTTCAAGCCTGTTGACAGAGCGACCCCTCCCGCTTTGAGATGGGGGTGGGTGGGCCCAACTCCCATACACTTACTAAATCCGGAGAGGAACTCCATGGGGACCCTGCGTGCTGAAGGAAGAAGAGAGAGAGAATCAGGTTTACTTGGGGGACTTGTGGGGAGGGGGCTCCAGCCAGCACAGCCCCTTTTGCACTGCCACCCCCCCAACCCTCCTTCCCCATCAGTTAATACGACATAAAACGTACAAATCAACAACCACATAGAGACAAATGGAAACCGGGAGATAAACAGAAGCCAAGAAAACCTTCCACTTCTCCATTCCCCACAGAGGCAGTTGCAAGCCTGTTGACAGAGTGCCCCCTCCCGCTTTGAGATGGGGGGGTCCCAACTCCCATACACTTACCACACATGAAGGTGCCCAGCATGTCTTCTTCTGAAGGAAGAAGAGAGAGGGAGTCAAGTTCACTGGGTATTTGTGGGGAGGGGGCTCTGGCCACCACAGCCCCTTTGGCACTCCCATCGCCCCACCCCCCACACACAAACCCTCCTTCCCCTTCAGTTGATGTGATTTAAAACATACAAATCAACAACCATATAGAGACAAATGGGAAATGGGAAAATCTTTTCCTTCTCCGTTCCCCACATAGGCAGGTTCAAGCCTGCTGACAGAGTGCCCCCTCCCGCTTTGAGACGGGGTGGGGGGGACTCCCACATACTTACCAGATTCTAAGCTGCTCGGCATGTCTTCTTCTGAAGGAAGAAGAGAGAGGGAGTCAAGTTCATTGGGTATTTGTGGGGAGGGGGCTCCGGTCACCACAGCCCCTTTGGCACTCCCATCGCCCCACCCCCCACACACAAACCCTCCTTCCCCTTCAGTTGATGTGATTTAAAACATACAAATCAACAACCATATAGAGACAAATGGGAAATGGGAAAATCTTTTCCTTCTCCGTTCCCCACATAGGCAGGTTCAAGCCTGCTGACAGAGTGCCCCCTCCCGCTTTGAGACGGGGTGGGGGGGACTCCCACATACTTACCAGATTCGAAGCTGCCCGGCATGTCTTCTTCTGAAGGAAGAAGAGAGAGGGAGTCAAGTTCACTGGGTACTTGTGGGGAGGGGGCTCCGGTCACCACAGCCCCTTTGGCACTCCCATCGCCCCACCCCCCACACACAAACCCTCCTTCCCCTTCAGTTGATGTGACTTAAAACATACAAATCAACAACCACATAGAGACAAATGGAAACCGGGAAAATCTTTTCCTTCTCCATTCCCCACACAGGCAGGTTCAAGCCTGTTGACGGAGCGCCCCCTCCCGCTTTGAGATGGGGGGGGTCCCAACTCCTATACACTTACCAGATTCGAAGTCCCACTGCAGGGCCATGGGTCCTGGAGGAAGAAGAGAGAGGCAGTCAGGTTCACTTGGTGGGGAGGGGGCTCCAGTCAGCACAGCCCCTTTTGCACTGCCATCCCCCCCCACAAACCCTCCTTCCCCATCAGTTAATACGACATAAAACGTACAAAACAACAACCACATAGGGACAAATGGAAACCGGGAAAATCTTTTCCTTCTCTGTTCCCCACACAGGCAGGTTCAAGCCTGTTGATAGAGCGCCCCCTCCCACTTTGAGACGGGGGTGGGTGGGCCCAACTCCCATACACTTACTAAATCCGGAGCATAACTTCATGGGGACCCCACGTCCTGAAGGAAGAAGAGAGAGGGAGTCAGGTTCACTGGGGGGACTTGTGGGGAGGGGGCTCCATCCAGCACAGCCCCTTTTATACTCCCATTCCCTCCCCACAAACCCTCCTTCCCCCAGTCAGTTAACATGACATAAAACATACGTATTAACCATTACATGGAGATAAACAGAAGTCCAGAAAATCTTTTACTTCTCCATTCCCAGCAAAGGTAGGTACAGGACTGTGGACTCTCCCTATTTGAGACAGGGATCCCCACTCAAATATACTTACCATCTCCATAGTTGAAAGACACCTGGCCACTCTCTCCTGAAGAAAGGCTCGAGCAAGAGTCAGGTTTATCAGGGCTCTTTTTGTAGAAAAAGCCCAGCAGGAACTCATTAGCATAACAGGCAGAGGTCGATTTGGGAGGGGGCACGCGGGGGATCGCAGTTCCCCCGGGTGAGGTACGGGGGGCGGGGCACATGACGAAGCCCCGCCCCCTGCTTCCGGCCGCCCCCCTTCCGGCCCTCATTCAGCCAGGAGGAGGCAGGAGAAAAGGGAGGGTAAGTTGCTTCCTCCCCACCTCTCCCCACCCCTGCCTGCCTGGGGCCAGGGAGGGCCTTGGCGGGGCTTCCTCACACTCCCGCCGGCCTTGCAGGTCCACCGCCGGGCCCCTCATGAGGCTCGGCAGTGGAGCTGCAAGGCCGGTGGCGGCGGCTGGGACCGTTGGGGGCGGGGTGTGTGGCCTTATGACACACTTCCGGTGATGTCAGGGGGTGTGGCATATGCTAATGAGTTATGCTAATGAGTTCCCCTAGCTCTTTTTCTACGAAATGACCCCTGATAACAGGCCACACCCCAACAGCAGAAACCCATTAGCATATTAGGCCACGCCCCCTGACAGCACAGTTCATTAGCACATTAGGCCGCACCCCCATGTTACCGGAAGTGTGGTAATC